TGTGTGTGTGTGTGTGTGTGTATTACATAGTATTTAATTTTGTTTCCTTTCTTTTTTTCTTAACTAGAAACAAGGCACAGGTCAGATGTACTACACTCCGACACACACACCTATTACACCAGCATTACGGACCCATTCCTCAGTTACAAAGATGAACCAGAGACCTCATGCCTTCTACACCAAGACTATATACAAGACTGAACATTGTCAGCCATGTGGCAAAAGGTATTGGATGTTGATCATATAATTAACTACAAGATTGAATTGTAAAACATGATTTTAGAATAACTTCAAATACCTATGAGTTAAAACAATATATTTTAGGAAAATATTCTTTATTATATCCTTAAACACTATCTAATGGAAGTATGTTAAGATGACACACATTTATTTTGTTGAATTATAAATGTCCTGTTTTCCCAAGTTTGTCATGTAAAATAGCAATGATTTCTATATATATATATATATATATATATATATGCAGATTCATTTCTCTAAATTCTTAGCGTCATCATTAATTTTCACTTACCAGAATCAAGTTTGGTAAGATTGCCCTTAAGTGTCGAGACTGCCGTGCTACCTGTCATCCTGAGTGTCGTGAATCTGTGCCGCTCCCTTGTGTTCCTACAGCCAACACTCCAACTACAAAGGGGCAATTGGTAAGTGCATATGTATATAGAAGCAGTTAGCCTGAAAGAGAGTTGTATTTGAGGTCATATGCATAAGTTTCAAGTTGTAAATGGTTCTCAGAGACTGAAACTATTCAGAGCTTAAAATTCTGTGTGCTCAATAGTTGAGAGTAAAAGTATTGATTTTCATCATTCCCCCAATGATATTAAAATGTGAATGGAACAACTTCCTTCAATACCATCATTATATACCCTGCTGATCGGGGGAATGTAAATGCATATAAATTTAGGAGCTACAACCCTTCAAAAGTTGGGTTAGTGACTTGGCTTTGGAAAATCTTGTAATTCAGAGGATGGGAAAATTAAGTATATTTTCCTGTGTGGTCAAGTGTGGTGTATAACATTCCCATTGGCAATGGGTTGATATGGATATTGCATAGTTAGAGAATAATACTGAGATTGTTGCAATAAATATAAAATACTTATGGTACTGAAAGTTGTTAGAGAAATATATGGTGAATGCAAATACAGAAGACAGTTATTGTTCCTTATTTTTGGTTGTATGTATGTGTGATTTTTCAATAGTCCACAATATTTTCTCTTCAAAGTGTCACATGATTACATGATCAATTACTCCACAGGGAACCATTGCTGACTATACATCTCGTGTACCCCCAATGGTTCCAGCCTTGGTGGTTCATTGTACCAATGAGGTAGAAAACCGTGGTCTGAGTGAAGTTGGAATTTATCGTGTACCAGGAGCAGAAAAGGATGTGAAAGAACTGAAGGTTTTTATTTTTCTTTTTGCTTTGAAGTTAATTGTTCTTATAGATATATGTTTTTGTTATCACATGATATTTGTATTGATGCTGTCTTGATTTATTTGTAATTTTTGATGCCAGTATTTGTTTTTACTATTATTATTATTATTGCTAACTGTATTCTTTTATCTTTGATTTTTTGTTCTTCCTTTTCTTCCTCATGTTGAGCCTCCTTTTCCTCCTTTGAGAACTGGAAAGGACTTAGAGTTGTCACATCTGGTAATCTTCTTTGTTTAGACAGAACTTCATAAAGAATTTCTCTTTTAGGATCAGTTCCTGCGAGGCAAAGGCATGCCTAACCTGTCCCAGCTTGATGTCCATGTTGTTTGTGGTGCTCTTAAGGATTTCATGCGGTCACTAAAGGAACCACTTGTCACCCACCTCCTCTGGCGAGACTTTACAAGTGCCGCAGAAAAGTCGGAGTCCCAAGATTTCCTTGCAGCTCTCTACCAGGCAATCTCAGAATTACCACAGCCTAACAGGGATACTTTGGCCTGGATCATAACTCATCTTCAAAGGTATGATAGCTCTTAATGAAGGTTGGTGTATCATCCTGTTTTTTTTCTCTTTCTCATTTTTTTCTGCTTTTCATTACTTGCCTTCAAAAGCTGTTTTCTTTAGAATGAGTGGCATGGTAGTTAAGATTTGAAAAATACTAGCAAAAAAGCAATTTTTTAGTCCAAATTATATATCAAAAGCACATTTGTATTATGGGGCAGAAGCTATATATGTTCATTGTATTGAAAGATTATATCATCTATGAAATTGACTAAAATATTTTAGGTTCAGATTCCAATACCTTTACTGCAAAAACAAAATACATTCAGAGAAAAAAACTAATCCATGCTGATGCACATTATGTTTATCCTTTCCCCTTCACCCCAGTTAAATTTTAAAGACAGTTTTATGATACTGCAGTCACAATTGGCAAGTGTGACATGACTCCTGTCTACACAATCCTGAAAAATATTTGGTAACTAGCCACCAGCCTTAGTGTGTGGCATAGCTGCTTACTTTATAGTTGTCAGTAAGGTTGGGCACACGCCATAACTATGTTTGTCACAAACTCCTATTGCAGCAAATTATTATATGTAGATGAATTTTTAGTGAAAATTATTAAAAAATGAAAAAATACCATGAATGGGAAAGGTATTGGCATGTAAACATTCAAATTGAAATATCTAGTCATGATTTGTTTTGCATGTAAGTTGCATTACTGTAATTTTGACCCACAGAGATAGGATAAGCCTTATTTTACTTCTGGAAATACAAAACTACAGTTGTAATGTGAAATCCGGGGAAAAGTAGCACATACAGCTCTTTTGCTACTGTTAATGTCATTTTGTATATCTGTTTTACTAATACCGTATCTCTCTCTCTCTCTCTCTCTCTCTCTCTCTCTCTCTCTCTCTCTCTCTCTCTCTTCTCTCTCTCTCTCTCTCTCTCTTCTCCTCTTCTCTCTCTCTCTCTCTCTCTCTCTCTTCTTCTCCTCTTCTCTCTCTCTCTTTCTCTCTCTCTCCTCACTCTCTCACTCTCTTCACTCTCTCACTCTCTCTCACTCTCTCATCTCTCACTCTCTCACTTCTCTCACTCTCTCACTCACTCTCTCACTCTCTCACTCTCATCAGTCTCATCTCTCTCTCTCTCTCTCGTCTCTCTCTC